GAATGTATAAACATAAAAAATGTCTTAAATAATTGTCGGACTTTGTCCATTTCATAATGTGTGACGTCATTTGTTTACATTTGGATACGCTTTGAGCTGATATGAATGTACGTGAGAGAATCATGGAAGATTGAAATTTAAAAGCAGTAAAATCGACCTTGTGGCGGAATCGGTATAAGCACGTCAGGCTATATGACGGTTCCGTATAGGATACAGGTTCGAATCCTGTCGGAGGACGCATATTTTCTATGACAATTTCTCGGACATTCAGGCCGGTAAATGTTGTTAATACTGTTTATTATAAACAGAGCATTTACTTAAATATTTGTATCTATAAAAAGAATATATAAACATAAAAATGTCTTAATATATATATATATATATATATATATATATATATATATATATATATATATATAAAGCGGAACCAAATAGCAACAAATGGAAACAATTGAAATAAAAGAGGAAAATGAAGAGAAAAGCGGATAAATTACCACACGATACACGTCCGGAAAGACAATTTAAATCCGTACGGACCGTGATATATCTATATATCTATATACATACTAGCAGCATGGCCCGGCGTTGCCCGTGCTTGATTCAAAAATCAAACTACTCATACAGCAATCGCTACCACTTGACTTAAAATATTTTTGCCCTTCCTTGCCTTTAAAGGAGTGCCCTTTTCCGTGCTGATGTTGCTACATGCCTTACTTCTTGCCTATCTCACACTGCGAATTTTTTCTAAGCTCTATACTAAACATTAAATCTGTTACGAAAAAAGAACTAAACAAAATGAACACAAAACGATCAGCTTTAAAAAAAGAACTCGTAACTGGAAAAACCGAAAAAAGAATGTTAACAACAAATACTTTTTCACACCCAACCCAGTTCTGCGGAATCAGAATCAACGTTGAGTTTAAGCAAGCGAATGAGCCAATTGGAGTAAAGTGCCATGTAGATTTAAATTTTTCCCACTTGTGATGAATGCAGCTATCGAATTTTTTGCATGTTAGCATGCTAGTTAACATTCGTGTCAGTCAGCTGTTAGCTCTCACGCTGGCCAATAGAATCTTCCTGCCTTTTCGTGGCAGCCAGCTATAGGCTCTCACTCTGGCCAGTAGAAAATGGCTGCAAACTACATGAAAACTGCCGTAGAAGCATGAAAAAATCGATTATTTCCACTATCGATAGGAGTTGGGAAATGCAATTTCGGTCTTGGCCTTTCCCGCTAACTTGGAGCATGTGCATGTACATTTTGGTGCAAATACGTCGAAAATTGCGGCCGTGCATTCGTTACACACACACACACACATCCTGCCTTATATATATATATATATATATATATATATATATATATATATATATATATTTATATTTTTTTTCACCCTACAGAGGTGACTCCTGTTTTACCATCAAAGAACCACCTTTATCTCGCGACATAAACGGATGTCTATTGTAGAGAGATTCCTTGCAAAAATTTTCTTTTTTGTAAGGATTTATTTTGTTGCCCGCCTTTATATAGAAGACCAATGATCTCATTGGTTTATCAAGATAAATCCTCACTTTTGCCATGATAAAGTCCCTCAGAGAACGAAACGCAATGGTTAAGCAGTTATTACTCCCCTTGTCTTTTTATTCATTTTGTTCCTTTGCAGATAAACTCTAACTGAAAATAATTTACACATACACTTGGTTCGCATAATTTTATAATCTTCTAAATAAATATCGTTGAAGGAGTCAAACGTGTATACAGTATCACCGGTGTCATGTGAATAACATCCCTTTGATTTATTTTTTGTTATTATTATTATTATTATTATTATTTTTATTTTCTTTGATTTCTGGCGTTTACACATTTCTTTCCGGGTCCCGCCCAGGGACCTAAGGTTAGAAATGGTATCATGACACTTTCCACTGACAAAAAAAAAATATACATAGATAAAGCCCTTTGTAAAGTGTGGGCTGTACTTGTGAGAACAATTTTTTGTATCTCTTTGACGCATGGACTTCCAGGAATCCCTTCAATGAGTCTACTGGAATCTTTTCCAACCAATCCTAGGGCTCCAACTACAACAGGGATTGTTGATGTTCCCATATGCCACATTTTTGAGATTTCGATTTCAAGGTCCTTGTATTTTGATAGCTTTTTAAAGATCTTCAAAGATACGTTGCAGTCTGCAGTGACTGCCATATCAATAAAGAGGCACCGTTTTTGTTTGTGATCTCCAATAACAATGTCTGGGCGGTTGGCTTTGATTGTTCTATCAGTGTCTATTGTGTAGTCCCATAGAATTGTAACAGGTCCTATCTCCGTAAACGGTCTGGGTGGTGTTCATACCAGTTTCTTTCAGTTTCCTTCCCGTAGAAGTTGCAGATTTCCCAGTGCAGATATTGGCCCACTCTGTCATGTCGGGTTTTATATTCAGTGGGTGCCAACATCGTGCAACCTGATACAAGGTGATCAATCGTTTCTGGATATTTATTACAGAACCTGCATTTTGGGCTAACACTATATTTTAGTATGTGTGCTTGATAATTCCTAGTTAACAAGCATTGGTCCTGTGCAGCAAGGATAAAACCTTCAGTTTCAGCTTTCAACCCTGTACTACGTAGCCACTGATGGGTACGGGTTTTGTCTACGTCAGCGTGTTTGGTAAGGGCAGAGTATTGGCCATGAAACGGTTTACCTTGCCATTGCTTCTGTATCTGGTCGGTTGCATTCGTCTTTGCTGTTTTTTTAAAGTATTTTGCAGTTTCAGCCGGTGTATTGTGCTGTAGTTGCATCTCTATGCCCATTGGAAACTCCATTTTGAATTTGTTGGCTTCTTTCCTTACGGAGTAAAGACTCTTACTACTTTCATGTTCCTTGACGCATACCATTATCGAGTCTTCTGTAGTTTCCAAGTATCTTTGGGGGTCCATTGTTGTAGTTTTGTAGGACAGTTCTAGTTGAACTAATCCTCTGCCTCCTTCGGATCCTTATTATTATTATTATTATTATTATTATTATTATTATTTCTGCTATGGACACACTACCTACCAAGTCTGCGGAAAGACCTAAGGCAGGTCGTGGTGTGTTGTTATGGCCACATTTCATGTTAATTTTTTTTTTTTTTTTTTTTTTTTTTTCTCCGATGAAGTTGCTAGCGTTACATAGACAAAGTTCTCCTTAGTGTGTGTGCTGTACTTAATAAGACAATTTTCTGTATGTCTCTTTAAGCTGGGGTTTCAGGGATTCTTTCAATGTGTTGTTTTGTTCCATTTTTTATAATTCCAAGTGCACCTATTACCACTGGTATTATTCTTGTTTTCAATTTCCACATTTTTCTATTTCAATTTCCAGGTCTTTGTATTTTGATAGTTTTTCAAATTCCTTGGTTGTTATGTTACAATCCGCTGGACAAAGCCATCAATTAGTAGGCAAGTTTTTTTTTCTTTCTGGTTTTTGACAATAATGTCCGGCCTATTTGCTTCAATTTTTCTGTCTGTGTGGATGGTATAATCCCATAGAATGGTGACATCTTCTATTTCTGTAACCGGCGCTGGCCGATGTTCATACCAGTGTTTGCTTACACATTTTCCAAAGTGTTTGCACATTGTCCAGTGTAAGTATTGCCCCACTCTATCGTGACGATTTTTATATTCATTTGGGCAAGTATAGAACATCCTGAGATTAGATGGTCTATTGTTTCTTGGTATTTGTCACAGAACCTGCATTTTGGATCCACATTATTATGTATGATATTTGCCTGAAAATTCCTAGTGAAAAGACTCTGGTCTTGCGCTGCAAGAATAAAGCCTTCAGTTTCAGACTTTAATCCAGATGCTCGTAACCATCGATGAGTATTAACTTTATCAACATTGGGTTTATTTGCACGTTCTGGATATTGGCCATGCAGAGGTTTGTCTTGCCAGCGTTGTTTCATCTGTTCAAGGGCTTTATCCTTGGCTTTCTTTTTTCATATCTTTTGCTGCAATAGTTGGTTCTTGGCTTGTTTTGATTTACTACAGAATCTACTAAATGTAAATGTTGTTTGTATTTACTGCCTTCTTTTATTATTATTATTATTATTATTATTATTATTATTATTATTATTATTTTACTTTTATGACAAGAAAATATTTTTGCTCTGTTTATTTCAAATTATTTTTTAATATTAATCTCTGTAAATTAGAATTCTTAATTTCTATTGTATCAAGTCAAAAAAGGTTAAGTTAAAAAAGAAGAAAACAAAGAAGGAAAATAACGACTAAAACTCGCCATCCCCACCCCCTGTCACCACATCAAATATTTACACGTCTAACTAATGTTTTTAATCCATTTTTTTTTTTTTTTTTCTTTTTTTTTTTGAAGAGGATTTCGATTTTCACGAATTGTTAGTATTGTTTGGTTTAGTTATTTTGTTTTTTTTAATCTTCAAATTTAAGACAAAAGGATCGTCCATTGATTTTCAGGATACTAAAAATATATAAATTGGAAACAAAAATTGAAAAACAGATAAAAAAAATTAAAGAGAAAAACAGAATTTGTTTGTAAATAGAAATATAAAAAAAAATATTTTGTTGCGAAAAAAAAAGAGAAAAATAAAAGGATTTATTTTTCATAAAAAGGAGAAAAAAATTAATCTATTTTTATAAATTTAAAAAAAAATTAATTCGTTTTGAAACTTAAAAAAATTAATTATATGCATGAAATGAAAAAGAAAAACAAATTAAATTTACAAGAAATAAGGGATTTTTAAAAAAATAAATGCCCGTTTTTTCCTCAAGAGACAACATGGGAAGAAAAGCTAACAAAAAAGAAAAACAAATAATAATGTTAATGATGGAATTGTGGCGGGTATCTGTTCATGAAACTGTTTAAAAAAGAAAATGGCGATTTCAATTCCTTCTAAAAAAAAAAAAAAAAAGAAAGATGGAAAGGAGAGCATGATTGATAATAGAGAAAGAGAGAAAAGAGAGAAAGAAAAGAAAGAAAGACGGAAAACAGAGAAAAATTAAAAAGAAAGAAAGACGAAAAAGAAAGAAAAATGGAAAAGACAGAAAGACGGAAAAGAGAGTGGGAAAGAAAAATGATGAAAAATATAGGAAACAAAGGAAAATGGAAAATATAGAAAGATGGAGAAAGAAGGGAAGATGTAAAGGAAAGAAAGACAGAAAGGAGAGAATGATGGAAAAGAAGAAAGATGGAAATGAAACAAAAAGGAAAATATAGAAAGATAAACAGAAAGAAAAATAGAAAAGAAAAACGAGAAAAATGGAAAAGAAAGAAAGATTAAAAAGGCAGAAAGACTGAAAAGAAAGAAAAATGGAAAATGTAGAAAGATAGAAAAGAGAGGAAGATGTAAATGAAAAGAAAGACAGAAAAGAGAGAATGATGGAAAAGAAGAAAGATGGAAATGAAACAAAAAGGAAAATATAGAAAGATAAACAGAAAGAAAAATAGAAAAGAAAAACGAGAAAAATGGAAAAGAAAGAAAGATGAAAAAGGCAGAAAGACTGAAAAGAAAGAAAAATGGAAAATGTAGAAAGATAGAAAAGAGAGGAAGATGTAAATGAAAAGAAAGACAGAAAAGAGAGAATAGCGGAAAAGAAAGACGGACAAGGAAAGAAGAGGGAAAAGAAAGAAAGATGGAGAGGAGGGAAAAATGGAAAAGAAAGGGCAATGAAAAATATAAAAAGATAAAAAAGACAGAAAGATGGAAAAGAAAGAGGGGTAGAAAAGAGAGAAAAATTGACAATATAGAAAAATAGAAAAGAAAGATAGTAAAAAAGAGAGATGGAAAAAGAGAGAAAGATGTACAAGAGCAATAGACAGAAAAGAAAGAAAGAAGCGAAAGAAAGAAAGATATTGAAAAAAGAGGAGATGGAAAAAGAGAGAAAGATGTACAAGAGGAATAAACGGAAAAGAAAGAAAGATGGAAAAGAAAGAAAGATATTGAAAAAAGAGAGATGGACAAAGAGAGAAAGATGTACAAGAGGAATAAACGGAAAAGAAAGAAAGATGGAAAAGAAAGAAAGATATTGAAAAAAGAGAGATGGAAAAAGAGAGAAAGATGTACAAGCGCAATAGAAGGAAAAGAAAGAAAGAAGCAAAAGAAAGATATTGAAAAAAGAGAGAAAGATGTACAAGAGCAATAGACAGAAAAGAAAGAAAGAAGCGAAAGAAAGAAGATATTGAAAAAAGAGAGATGGAAAAAGAGAGAAAGATGTACAAGCGCAATAGAAGGAAAAGAAAGAAAGAAGCAAAAGAAAGATATTGAAAAAAGAGAGAAAGATGTACAAGAGCAATAGACAGAAAAGAAAGAAAGAAGCGAAAGAAAGAAGATATTGAAAAAAGAGAGATGGAAAAAGAGAGAAAGATGTACAAGAGCAATAGACGGAAAAGAAAGATAGATGGAAAAGAAAGAAAGATATTGAAAAAAGAGAGATGGACAAAGAGAGAAAGATGTACAAGAGGAATAGACGGAAAAGAAAGAAAGATGGAAAGAAAGAAAGATATTGAAAAAAGAGAGATGGAAAAAGAGAGAAAGATGTACAAGCGCAGTAGAAGGAAAAGAAAGAAAGAAGCAAAAGAAAGATATTGAAAAAAGAGAGATGGAAAAAGAGAGAAAAATGTACAAGAGCAATAAAAGGAAAAGAAAGAAAGAAGCAAAAGAAAGATATTGAAAAAAGAGAGAAAGATGTACAAGAGCAATAGACAGAAAAGAAAGAAAGTTGGAAAAGAAAGAAAGATATTGAAAAAAGAGAGATGGAAAAAGAGAGAAAGATGTACAAGAGCAATAGACGGAAAAGAAAGATAGAATGAAAAGAAAGAAAGATATTGAAAAAAGAGAGATGGACAAAGAGAGAAAGATGTACAAGAGGAATAGACGGAAAAGAAAGAAAGATGGAAAGAAAGAAAGATATTGAAAAAAGAGAGATGGAAAAAGAGAGAAAAATGTACAAGAGCAATAAAAGGAAAAGAAAGAAAGAAGCAAAAGAAAGATATTGAAAAAAGAGAGAAAGATGTACAAGAGCAATAGACAGAAAAGAAAGAAAGAAGCGAAAGAAAGAAAGATATTGAAAAAAGAGGAGATGGAAAAAGAGAGAAAGATGTACAAGAGGAATAGACGGAAAAGAAAGAAAGATGGAAAAGAAAGAAAGATATTGAAAAAACAGAGACGAAAAAAGAGAGAAAGATGTACAAGAGGAATAGACGGAAAAGAAAGAAAGATGGAAAAGAAAGAAAGATATTGAAAAAAGAGAGATGAAAAAAGAGAGAAAGATGTACAAGAGCAATAGACAGAAAAGAGAGAAAGATGTACAAGAGGAATAGACGGAAAAGAGAGAAAGAAGCAAAAGAAAGATATTGAAAAAAGAGAGATGGAAAAAGAGAGAAAGATGTACAAGAGCAATAGACGGAAAAGAAAGATAGATGGAAAAGAAAGAAAGTTATTGAAAAAAGAGAGATGGAAAAAGAGAGAAAGATGTACAAGAGCAATAGACGGAAAAGAAAGAAAGAAGTAAAAGAAAGAAAACGGAAAATAGAAAAAGATGGATGAAACTAATAAACGTAGGTCAACGTCTGAGTGAAATAAAGTCTTTCATTAGATTTTTAACCTGAAGATAAGAAGATGTCTAAATTATTTGAAGGACAGAGATTATACTGACCGAAAATGTGGGATGGAAAAAAAAAGCGAACAGGAACAAGACATCTCAT